AATTCAATGGCACCTAACACTACCATGCCATTGCCATCCATCCCTCTGCCAGTGAGCTTTACCACACCCCCTTTTTTGTTGCCTTCTTTTTCCTACAAGAAAAGACTGATCGATCATGTTTCGATATGGAGAGGAGAATGAATTGGCTGATATGTTGGCACTGCAAGTCCCTTTGTGAAAGGCAGCTTCGAAGATGGTCTTTCAGGAAAAGAAAAAAAAGAATACTTCGACGATAAGCATGATTATTTGGACTAATCCGATCGGCATCCCCGGCATTTCTGGAGATCTCTACGTCTCTACAAGTAGTATAGCTCCTTGCCAACAGGAGCCGGAGTGAACTGTGGAGGAATTTTGGTGGTGGTGGTGGCATTGGCAGGATAAGATCTGCATCTCTGAGTTGGAAAGGGGGTTAAGGGAATAAAGGGGTGGTAGTATGTATAAGATTAAGATAGAATCGAATACGCAAGGTTTGGGGGACTGATTGGACTGATGGTACTAAATATCGCATTGCTTAATGTAATAAACCTTGCTGGACAAGTCTGGTCCAGAGAAACCTATCCAAGGAGCTCCAGATTGTTCCGAGCTCCTAAAAGTTTTAGATAGTCTTCTAAAAGCACGTCCACCTCCTAAAACTAACTAAAGGCAATAAATACTTTGGCAAAAGGACCATGATGCCCTCTCCCTTTGCCCCTGCTCCTTCTCTGCATGCCCCTGCTCCTTCTTCTCTGCATGGCGCCACTTCTCCCATGCGCAAGCTGGCGCCACACCGTGTACTTCTAGGCGCCAATTTTTTTTTTGTTGCTGGCGCCAACACAATGAAGTGTCCATACAAATATTCGTACACTCATACAATTGGAAAGAAGTGTCCATAAATCATCCATACAACAATTCAACACATCAATAAAATCACCATTACAAGTTGACATCTACAATCTACTAAACAAACCATCGGCTATCCAATCACGGAACTCGTTCATATTTCGATCTTCATCTCCATGACATACATTTGACACATTACCGTCAGAAGAGGATCCTTCGGCGAATGGAACATAGTTCTCATCCTGGTCAACCAAATCAAAGTCCGCATCTCTCAAAAAACTGTCCCTAATAAAATTGTATAGTGCCATGCACGCAATAATTATATGGCTTTGCTTTTGCATTGGATAGCTAGGAAGGTCAAGCAATATCCTCCACTTCATCTTTAGAACTCCAAACGACCGTTCAATGACATTACGGAATGAAGAATGTGAGTAATTAAACAGTTCTATTTTACCTCTTGGCATTGTTCCTTGTCTGAACTCCGGCAGGTAGTACTTGATTCCTTTGTACGGTGCAAGATATCCCAGTCGGTTTGGGTAACCCGAGTCAACAAGGTAGAACTTGCCTGTACAGTTGTCATTACCTTCAGGTGGATGCGGAAACTTGTCTCCAAACTTGTCAATTGCATCTTTGAACACTCTCATATCATGAACTGGCCCAGGCCAACCAGTCACCACAAAAGTAAATCTCATATCGAAATCACATATAGCCATGACATTCTGACTCGTATATCCATGTCTTCCCATATATTTGTACTATCTTGGTAGTTGGCACTACTACAGGAATATGAGTACCGTCTATAGCTCCAATGCAATTGTCAAAGAATGGCGTGAACCAAGGGCTTTGCAACCTAGGATGCACATTCCTAAACTCAGGGTCCTTTGGTTTAATGATGTCAACTGCTAGCTTGTTCACACTCTCTAGAACTTTATCAAACTTTCTACATATTGTTTCTAGTGATCTTGTGAAACGATCCTCAACTTGTCTAAGAGATTGAGGTGCACCACATATCCATAGAAACAACCCTAAAGCCTCCATAGATGACATGCTCCTAGTTGATTTTAATCCATATGATTCAACTAGCAAACTATGCAGCCTCAGAAACAAATCTTGACTCATTCTAAACATATTGTAACAATATCTGCTATTTCCTAGTGTCTTCATGACCCATTCAAATCCACTCTATGTTTCTATTTTGTATTCTGCTTTGTTCATATAGGTGTCAAAGTGATACATACCCATCATGGCAACAACAATACTTAAGATTTTCCTCCTCTTCTTCCTACACTGCAATATATAGGATTGTACTCTTTGATCAAATTCATCCCTATCATCGTCCTCTTCATCCCATTGCTCATCCTGAGACTCATCTTCTTCCTGTAATAAGCAAAAGAAACAAATCAGTACATTTCACTACCATAAAGCAACAAATCCACATTTCACTACCAACCTCTACGTGCCATTGTTCCTTTAACACAATTCCCTACCCTTATTTCCTCAACAGCAAGTTCACAGTAATAATGTGTGTTTTCCTCGGACCAATCAGCCCTGGCATGAGGATTCTATAGCAGAAAACAAATTATCACACTAAGCATTGCAATGTCAAACAGTTGGAAAATAAATGGCAAGCATACAATTCACAACTCACTAGCCATATCACAGACAACATTTCATACATGAGAAGGCAAGCATTGACCATGTATAGGCAATTACCTGAGACTGTGTTTCAGAGTCATCAACATCCACTGGATTGTGAAAGCCATGGCCTGCAGACGACTCAATATTGGGGAAGACGTCCGCCTGTGAGTTGAGATCCAAATGCTCCATGTGGCGGCGGGGAGCGGACAGGGAGGGGGCCGGCTGCGAAATGAACAGCCCGAAGTCGTCTTCGTCCACATCTTCCGGGGATGTGCGGAAGCTACCTGCACCGGAGGAAGATCCTTGAAATAGGAAGTCCCTGTAATTGTACTTGTCCATGGGCGGGGTGATGTGCTTGGGCGTGCGCGTGGCCGGGTTGGGGGAGGGCACGAAAGGCTGTGGGGGATGGCACGGGGAAGGAAGAAACTGCTAACAATCCACCTGCGCACAAAAATAGATCAGCAAGGGGAACCTCAGAACACTACATCAAGAAGGAGAGGGAAGAAACTAACCCGGCAGGCCCGAGAGTTCGTCGCAGACCCGGGATTGCGCGAGGGAGCAGCTGTCCTCCCCCGGTGGTGGTGGCGTTGCGGGATGAGGAGGTCCCGGCGGGTGGCGACGGCGGCGGGGAAGGGCACGGGCAGAGGATCCGGCGAGGGAGCACCCGACCGTCGGTTATTGGCCGCGGAAGCTGGCGTCGATGGCAGATCCAGCGGCAAACCGGAGGGGGAGGGCGCAGACGGCGCTGTTTGGCCTCGGACGTTCGCGAGGTGGGTGGATCTAGCGGCGGCGGGGATGGGGGCGGCGGGGATGTTGGTGGACGCGAACGGGGTAAGGCGCGGGGTGACGCGTGAGGCCGAGACGGGGGTAGTGGCGGTCTAGGATGGGCTTTAGGAGGTTTTAGGAGGGGGTGGAGCTCCTAAAGGAATTGAAGCCTCCTAAAACTTTTTAGGAGCTTTTAGTCAATGTGTTTGGTTCTTTAGACACTTTTTAGCTCCTAAAGATTTTAGGAGGTGGAACCAAACAGGGCCTAATATTTTTTGGTAAAAGCTATACCTCACTCAAGCAATTTAGAGGAATCCATCACACGAATTTTGAGCCATTCGATTCTTTCCTATCTCCTACGCCCGCCGTCCGATTTATGCGTCGGCTACCCGCATCCGCCCGTGCCTGCGTCGAGCCAACGAAACGGCGCGCGGCCGTGACCTTGCTTCCCCGCTAGCCACCAGCGGCGGCGCCTCTCCGGCGGCTCATGCCCGCCCCCCTGGAGGCGTCCCTGGTCACGCGACCAGGCTCCGCGCTCACAGCGGCGGCGGCCTGGCCCTGCGCTCTGGCTCCGCACATCCCCACGGCGGTGCCAAGTGTCCCCGCCGGACCGCGCCACCCAGCAGGCCACGCCTGGGCCCCACCGGAAGCGCATCTCGACGACCGCGCGTGCCTGACGGCGGTGGCTAGGGTTTCGACGAGCCTCTCCCCCAACTTTTGTCCTTGTCCTTTCATAGAAAAAATATTTCTTGTGATTTGTGCCGGCCGGAGTTGGAGAAGATAGTGGCGGCCGATCTCGCCGGAGTTGGAGAAGATGACGGCAGTGGCAGAGGGTCCCGCCGGAGCTGTGCGGGGTGCTGGCGGGGCACTGGGCGGTGGCGGGAGGAAGAAGATGAATAGTGGAGAAAAAATTGAGTGACAGCTCACACAGATTTTGTTTTGGATTCATTTGTGTGATTTGTTCTCTAAAATTGCTTGAGTGATCAGATCAAACAGATTACTCGAGTACCAAATAGACAGACCTTACATCATTTCAGAAGGACAATATTAACTCTTATGATAAACATGACCTGCCCTCCTAAAACCAGTTTAAGAAAGTAAAATCCCTTTTTTCCAAAAAGAAAAAAAAAAAGAGAAATCCCTGGTGATAAATGAAAAGTTCAAAAGATTCACAGACAGGGACCTGAATAAGCAGGCAAAGAGGACAGGGAAATTCAACGAATGGCGCCAAGCAGGAAACCTCCAAGGGACCCACTTGGCTGACAAGGAGCCACACCGCTTTTTTGGTGGTAAACAGCTGCGGCGCGGTGCGGTCAAACCGATGACTGCGGTTAGGGAGGGGGTTAACCACGCCAGCACACGTTAAGCTTGGCGAGCACGAGGCAGCAGCAGCGAACAAGAGCGGCAGTGATCGAGTCGAGCAGCCAGCCGCGACCGCGACCATGGCTCTGCCTGTGCTGCCGCTGCTTCTGCCTCCGTCCCTCCTCCTCATCATCACCCTTCCCCCTCCCGTCTAGACACGCATCATTGCGCTACTCCGCGCTGCACTCCTCCCTCCCGTGTCTGTCGCCTCGGCTGCCCCTCTCGTGCTCTGCTCTCCCCTCCCTTGCTGGCTGCTGCTCCCCCTCTTCTTTTCTTGCTTGCCGTGCCGGTGCACCGAGCTCTTGCTAGCTAGTACCCGCCTAGCTATATATAGCGAGCCGAGCAGGCTTTCCTTTCCCAATTCAAACAGTGCGGCGTCTTCGGCGGCGGCGGCGGAGGCAGAGGCAGACGACGCCATGAACGCCTTCTTCACGTCCCTGGCGCGCGGGCTGGACGACCTGGGCCGTGCCGGCGGGCTGTCGTCGCTGCCGGCGCTGCTGCGGGCGGCAGCGCTGCTCAGGGGACTGCACTCGCAGCTCACGCTCATGGTCGGCCAGCTCCACCTGCCCCCGGGCGGCCGCTGGCTCGACGAGTACATGGACGAGACCGCCCGCCTCTGGGACGCCTGCCTCGCCGTCAAACTCGGCCTCGCCTCCGTCGAGCGGTATTGCGCCGCGGCCTCCTGCGCCGCCGCCGCGCTCGATGACTGGCTCCAGGATCCCTCCCCTCTCTCCACTCGCCAGGTTGGTTCTTCCTTCCTTCCGTTGAAGCGTCCTGCGATGGATCGATCGCGTCTCATGAACTATCGATCGTTTCCGTTTCATTCATGGCTTTGCTCTGTTTCTTTCTATCTGAGAGACTGAAACGCTCGTGGCTCTGTTTGTGGTGCGCATCGACGTCGTTCATCAATCCATCGCTATTGTTAATGGTTTGATTGGCGCTTCCCGCGCAGGTGCTGCGGGCGATCTCCGTGTCGAGGAGGGAGGCCATGGCCGCGGAGGAGGAGAACCGCGCGCTGTCGGACGCGAGGATCGCGCCGCTGTCGCTGCAGCTCGACGAGCGGCTGCTGCTGCGCGCCACGGACACCGCGAGGCTCACGGGCTTCAACGGCTTCCGTGGCCTCCTGTACGCGCTGCACAACGCGAGCTCACTCCTCCTGCTCATCCTCGCCAGCGGTGCCGTCTCCTGCGCGGCCGCGGCGGCCGGCGGCGGCCCGTGCGCCGCGGACGACGACGCCGGCGGCGCGGACGCCGGGGCCGGCTTCATGGCGTCCATCGCAATGCTGCAGCAGAGGATGGCGGAGGAGGCCGAGTCCGACGGCCCCGGCGGCGCGCCCGGGATCATGATGTGCGAGTTCCGGTGCGCGCGCGCCGCCGTGGAGGCGGCGCGGGAGGAGGTGGAGCGCGCCGCCGCGACGGGCCGCAAGTGCGAGGGAGGCGGCGGCGTCAAGGACAAGGTGGAGGAGCTCAAGGCGTGGCTGGACGTGCTCCGTACCGGCACCGATAGCCTGGTGTGCCAGCTGGACGACTTCCTGGACGACATTGTCGAGGGCAGGAAGGAGCTCTCCGACCTGTGCAGCCATTGATGGATCAATCACACCTCGTGCCCTGCCCCCGATCGAGCCAGCCTCGGAGCTCCACCAGTCCCAGCATAAAGATCATCATCATCACAAATTCACATGAACGAATGAATGATGCTCGTTGCTTGCTTGCTTGCTTACTTGCATGGTAGTACAAGCAAAGTCACATACGTACGTACTAGCAGTGTCCCTAGCTAGCAATAGCCTGTTGTTGTCCCTCTTCTCTATCGCCATCTCTGTGTTAGGGATGGAGAGAGTGATGGAGCCTCAGCCTGTGGTGTCGCAGCATTTTGGCCATGATGCTGTTCCTGTCTCGTTGTTGCGTCTGCGCCTCTGCCATGAAAGGAGGCGGCATGATGGGGATGAGACTGAGAGAGAGGTGGGAGTACTGGCGTTGGAAGAGGAGGAGAGGGAGGCAACTGATCCATCGATCACACACAACAAGAGCCAAGAGATCTTTGGCTCAGGAATCGGCGGCACACTCGCAGCTGCGCAGAAAGTGGCCTAGGTTGGACCGACCCCTTGCCATCCCCGCGGAAAACTTTGGTCGTTGCTTCTGTCCTGCTTACACTTCTCCCGTTCACTCGCTCGCTTTCTCAAAGCTCTCAGCTTCGGCCTCACGGGTCCCCAACCCAGCGGCTCTTGTCTGGCTTGCATGGCATCTATACGAAAACTACACTGGTTAATTAAGACACTACTACATTAATTAACCTAGCAAATCAGTTGCAGCTCGATCCCGTGTCCACACCACGGCAGCCAAAGCCATTCCTCGGCACGCCTTTGGTTCGTTTTGACAGAGCCTAACAACCTCATCGGCGACACGACATGGATCCATTATCCATCGCCTCGCCCTCGCCTCACCGTCGCCGGCAAAAGGCGAGCCATCATGGCCTCCTTTCCCACGGCCAGGTGCTCTCGCTCGATCAATCAAACTACTGGTACGGTAGGAAACAAAAGCCGGGCGATCGAGCGGCGTGGGCATTAGGCCAGTCTCAATGGCTTTTTATTGCACTGTTTCCAAAACTGCCGCATCATCGAGAGTGGAATGAAACCACGAACAAAACAACCTCAAGATTGCAAGGTTTCATTTTGCTATTTCCAAGGCTAGCTAAAGAATTTAATTGCTGCATGATGTTGTGATCAAATATATCATATGAATCGTGTAGCCATTTGTAATTGTTTTCAAATCGAGTACTAGCAAACCGCTCAGCTTTCACACACGTATTGCTGCATATTCAGATAGGAGTATGTCATACACGTGCTGCAGATTATTGTGCTCAGCTTTCACACGTACTGCAGGAGACGGCGCGGCGCAAATGACGAATCACGGATCCGCCGGATTGTGTGGCTACCAAGCGTGCACCATTCCTCCACTGGAGCCACACTGCGCCATGTCTCCGCACGGGATCGCCTCCCTCGCCTGATGATGAAACGAACCTCTCTCAGTGGCGTGTCGCTCCATTTCCAAGACGTAGGTAACCGAGCCGTGCTCGTTTCGTCAGGATGAAACGAGTTTCCTCTCTTTCTTCGTAAATATGCTGCCACATCATCAGATTTGCCTAGATGGAACCTCATTTACTGCCACGGAGACTGGTCTTATTAGTAGGGCTTAGCGCCGTTTCATATCCACCGCTTCCTCTTCGGGCCAGGCACAACTGTTTCCTTCTCCTTCTTCTCCTCGTTAGAAAAAAGACCTAAAAGAAAGCAATGTGTGAAACCTGAAACGCCGAGGATCTCGCCACTTGTTTACTCCTATCCTACTAGTGGCGACCTCACTTCCGTCTCGCCCATCATTACGGCCTCCACCATCGCAAGAATAGGGGGTGTCGAAAAGCGAGGCCGCGCTCCGTGGGATTCCTTGTACCCCTCCTCCTTGGCCCTGGCCGAGGACGCCGAGCGCCGGCCTGCCGAGGCGTAGCGTATCCTTGTACGGAGCCTCGGAGGGAGATCCGGAGATGGATGGACGGACGGACGGATGGGAAGGCAGCGCAACACATGACCGGCGCGAAAACACTGGCTGTGGCGGCCGGCTTCCGTCCCGTACTCCCGTGGCGCTGCAGCTGCTTGTCGGGCTGGACCGACCGGCGGTGTCCCGGGCCGGGAAGCTGCAGTGCAGCGGACGGACGATCGCAATGATTATAGCGTTTTCTGGAACGGCAGCGGGGACGGGGACTGCCCTGACCCGGGGTGCAGCGCGGCTTTCTGCTGCGCATTCAAGAAAAGGACCTCTGGGCTCTGGACCTTTGCCGCCTGTGTCGCTCGCCCTCGCCCTCGCCCCGTCGGTCGGTCGGTCCATGGATCCATGCCGGGCCATCATTTCCCTGGAGGAACAAGAAGCAGATGGGAGTGGAAGGTTGCCCATGGATCCATCGATCGGCGGCAACTTAGTCGGATCATGGCCGGAAGAAAAAGTAGGAGCTTGGTGTCGCGGTCGATCAGGTCTCTTGGAGAACAAACGGGGTGCGTCGGTCTGGGTTGAAACCGGAATTAGGCAGCTAGGCACCAAAGTTTCATGATGTTTTCTTCTCCCAGACAACGAGCCTCATGATGTCAGCGGCTAAAAACTGATGATGTCCGTGACACTGTGTCGGTACATAGGCTACCAAAAATTTGTCTTCTCCTAGGCCATTGTCAAGACGCATAAGACAATGTTAACGACATAAAGAAGTCAACAACAATCTGCTGCCCAAATGTTCACCAGTAGTAGAACACAAATGGTTTTCTATCCATGGTTTCTACTGTATTTTCTTACCGGAAGCACAAAAGCAGATGACAATATAGGCATGGGTCCCACGGTCATGAACCACCGGTGGCATTTCCGCATGCATCCATCTAAAAAAATCTGTTACTAGAAATAGATTCATTTCATTGACAGATGACTTAAGTTAGCCCTAGATTCATTTTGGGACACGGTTTCGATTTGGCAAATATGTTCAAACATGGACTAATTAGTTACCATTTCAAAACGCATAATTAATTTTTCTTTTCGTCTACATTTAATGCTCCATGCACGGACCGTAAACATTCGATGTGACAGATACTATAGCAACTTTTTAGAAATTAGGGTGGAACTAAACAAGGGCTTACCATCAATATTAACGATATTAACGGTTTTCTAAGTAAGCCGTCAATATAAATAGGATCTTTTATACATATGGTACGCTCAAGTAAAGCCGCCCATGAAAATAATCTATACTAGTGGTTGATATAACATGACGCTAGTACTAACATTATCTTTTCTCCCTCATTTCCATCCTCGCGTTCTCTCAAATCTTTTCTCCCTCTGTCTAATCTCTTCCTCTCTCTTTGAACCCATCCTCGCATTCTCTGTTCTCTTCTCCTTTTGCCTAATCTCTTTCCCTGCGCGACCAGACGCGGTTCTGAGTTGCCGACCCACATGGTTGTCAACGGTGTCATGTCCATACTTCGTCCAACACTAAGCCCTTGGTAAGCTTGACTACCCCCAATGGCCCTTTCTTATGTATGTGAACTCTTCATGGCTCCGTGTCGAGCACTTCATGGTTTATTCAGTGTGGGCTTTTGTGTGGAAAGAGAGAGAAAAAGATAAAAGTAGGTGTGGTGTGGTGGTGACTACATTGATTGAGTTTAATGTGCACGATCTTAGTGGGCAGCAATGCGTGACATACAACATGCTGGGAGCTATTGAAAAATATGTAGCCTGTCCGTTTCGGCTGAAACAATCGTGGATTATAAGCCAGAAGTACTGTTGGCTGGTTTGGTGTGAGAGAAAAATACTGTTCCAGCTTATAATCCACGATCGTATAAGCCGAAACGAATAAGCTGATGGTTCAATGATCCGTACGGTGATGAGAGTGGAAATTCATATACAAATAGATTCCCCATTCTTGAAAGTATCAAGATGACACCTATTGGGCGGCGTTTGAAAAGGCACAACAACAAAATCATAGGATTAAAACTAATTTGCCATTGGCTTGCACGTTTTTTCCCCTAAAACCCTACAAACAACTTGTTCTCCCCCCCAAACCATTTCTATCACGAACCAAATTTGGTGTGGTGCTTAGTGATTCTTAGCAAGTTCACACAACCCCTGCACTTCACAAAAAGCGGATCCAAGTAGATCGATGTGTAAGCTAATAAATGTGTTAGAGAAAACTAGAGTGCGATAAACCAAATCAGGCACAAAGATTTGTTTCTCGAAATTCAGCCCCACAACTTGGACCTTATATTTCTGCTAAGGAAGATGTGAGCAACACCGAAGGCCAAACTCTACTAGGTCTCTTTCAACCACTTTGCTTGAATCCACTAGTTGATCTTTTCCACCATTCAGGGGTGTTGGATCTCTGGTACGTCTAGAGGGGGAGGGGTGAATAGGCCTGTAAAAATTCAACTCAAACCAAAGTCAAATTGACCCACAGCACTGCCGCTCTGTGAGCGTGGCACTGCCGCACCTGTAGAATAGATTAGTTCATAGTTCAAAATCTTCTCAACAAAAATTAGACCGGTATATATTTTTAGTTTCCTGCAGGGTAGTAGATCACAGATCGACAACTGAAAGTGGTGGGAACACCACACACAAGTAGATCGGCCTCAAACTCTAGAAATCATCTCAACAACAATAGGAACACGAGTGTAGCAACACAAGCACAAGATGACACAAGGATTTATCCTGTGGTTCAGCTTGCCACAAAGGCTTGCCTAAGTCCACGTTGTTGAGGTATACCACTAAGGCTTAGGGATTTGCAACCCTATCTCGTTCTCAAGTCAAGAGAGTGAACTCTTGAGATGATGGTGATTTTACTCGCTGCAAGAGGTGGTTACAAACCTTTCGGGGCTGCCACACAAGTTGGCAAGTTTCGCGGACGACGCTCTAGCCGGCTAGGAGCCAAGCTCCAAGAGTAACAAACACAACCGCCGGCTCAAACGTGAACCAAGTGCTCTTTAGAGTTTGAGAATCAATGGAGCTGCTCTCTAATCAAGTTTTGGATCCTTATCCCTCAAGGATTGATGGGGAAATCAATGAATTT